AAAGATACTTTGCAATGACGTCAATCGGAGCCATCTCTTGATACTTAGGACTTTCCTATATGAAACATCGCCTTGGCCACATTTCTATACTGAATGTTAATTGGCCCATAATTAGATCCTGGTTTCATGCAGCAATGTAAATAAATCTGTATCCGGTTCTAAAAACAAAAGGCACGTGAGTCGTTAAGGCGCCAAAATGTTAAGCAAATATGAGTTAAAGCTGTTCGAGTTAGTCATCCAAACGACTAAGACTTTAACATTATAAAATAAATTATAATTATAAAATTATTTCTCAAAGATATTTTTTTGTCAGTACGCCACATCTTCTCAAATCCAATGATTTACCCCTCATCTTCTTCTTCTTCAAGTCTGGAAATAGTCATTTCTCCCCAAAAACTCAGAGAAAAAAGTTATGAAGGAAAAGAAAATTTTTTTTTTCAAGAACTCAATAATTATACTTTTTTTTTTTGGACTGCACCGAAGATTTTTTGAATGATTACTAAACTCTTTACTTAATTATTTACTGTAATGCACTGTAAATGCGCTGCAGCGCAGGTGCAGTTAAAATAAATAAATACATTCTGTAAAAATAAAAAAAAAACAATCGAAACCGATTAGAAATTTGAAACAATCTGTACCGACCACAGGAGTAAGTTGGTTAAATTTTTTTTTTTTACAGAAAAACAGAATTATTTAATTTTTTTTTTTTTTTGTCATTTTTTCACTGACCAATATTTGGAAACAATTTGGAAATTGTTCGGACGGGGCAACTGGTACTCTTATGGGTGATAAATAGTTAGGACACTATCAGTGTTTTAAGTTTTTTATTGCCAACGTTTCAACCCAAGCGTATGGAGGGGCATCATCAAGACACGTTGCAAGCACTGAAAGTGTTCGAGTACTCAACACCTTCATAATATTGTACCTCTGATGTTATGAATTTTTCAGCCTTGACGATGACCCACAAGCTGAAACGTTGCCGATAAAAATATTTAAAAACTGATTGCGTTATGGAAGGAAGGTAGTCGACTGTTCTAGATATCATGGGTTATACATCTGGACGCAGTTTGTTTTTAAAGATTTTTGTTGCCAACGTTTCAGCCCAATTTTATGGGTCATCATCAGGGCATGTTGGTGCTGAAGGCAGTACTGAATTAGTGGAGGTCTCATTGTGACCTGCGTGCCAAAATCTTTGGAGACCCCTGATCTAACCAAGCTTTGGATAGGTTTTGGGCATATTCTAATGAAATAAATATATATAAATAACCTTTAGGTTGTGATGACCAAGTATGTAAACTTTAACATTCTTGAGTCTAACGACGCCGGTTCGAATCCGGTCTGGGCGTTTTAACATTCATTTCGTGACGGAACTACGAAATGAATCTTGACCATCCAACTCTGGTTAGAACAGGTTTGGTTGTTATTCAAGAACAACTTACTACCCTCACACGTATGCCAAAAAATGAAGAAGTAGAGGTATCGTAAAAAATAACCTAGACTATACATGACCAAATAAATACATAATGCAAATATTAATTATTATGAATAATTTATACTCACTGCAAAATTCGCAATAAGTATAAATAACAGTAAATGTCAATTCTAAAATTGAACAACAAAAACAAGGAAAAGATGCCTGGTAAGTTGGGTCAGTATAGCTTCCTCAACATTTCTGTAGGTTATGTAATATTTTTATCTTGGTTTCAAGGCCTATGGTTTGTCCTTTGGAAATAAAATCGAAAAGTACATCTAAACGAACGAAGTAGCTGAAATAGATATTGAATCATCATGTAATCAAAATTCACATGCCTTCCACTGCAAAAAAACATTTACCTTATTACTACAGACATTTATTATTACCCATTATTAATTTTTTTAAATTTATTTTATTATATAGTTACTCTGTTTTATATTTGGACGTTCTTAATACTTTTTTTTATTTAATCTGTTAATTATTGTCTCATATTTTTTTAATCTTAATATATTTTAACTCTTACAGTATTATATAGCGTTATATTTTATTCTTTCTAGGCCTGATGAAGACTTGCATAGTTCGGTCAAAACGTAAGCTAAATAAATATTTCCTACTTTTTTGTTATTTTAGTATCGCTACCCCAGCACCCCTGAATAAAATTGTATAGTTTCAAAACCTATATAAAACCCCATTACCGTATAATTATTACTTACCACATTTCATGGCCTTCATATCCTTAACAATCGCATTAATTTTAATCGTTCAATGGAATTTAATTTAATAAAATATTAAACTAAGTTTGCACTATTTTCTCTAACTTTTGGCCCAATAAAACCTTTTTTTTTTTAAACATAGGCATATCAATAAAAATACGTTTACGTATCCGCAAGGGAAAGAAGGCAATAAAATTGATGTTGAACTAGATATGATCCACACAATTCCTAGTAGTGGGTGACATGCCCGTCACAAAATTCGACGTCATCTAAAACGTAAAGCCTGAGTAAAAATTGTCGGTACGGAACACAACAAATCTTTCCGGCAAGAATACAAAGCTTCCCTATAATCGGTAAAGAGGAAGCAAAATACAAATAAAAACAGAAAAAGCACAATTTATAATATATTCTTAGGACAGATCTCTCCTAAATACGGCTCCCGTTGAAATTTAATTTGATTACATTATATATTATACAAAATCATATGTTTTATTATAGGCCAATTAAGAAATAAGTTAGTAACGGTTGTGCTTAATGAAACTTAAAATTTCAATTGTAATTAATGATATTACAGTATCTTTGTATAAAGAGGTCTTTATACTTTGAGGCTTGGTGGATGTAGGTCCTCTAATTAATTTGCCTTCGGGATTAAAAAGGGAAAATTACAAACTTGGATTCGCCGATCTCAATGAACCTTTTTTTGCGATACTGGGTCGAAAAACATTATACTCATTTTCTTGCCAATTACCTAGGAACCGAGAAATTGTTTTTGTTTTTTTTAGTATTATTTTATTCAGCCTTAGCTCTGCATATCTAACAATTTTTTTTTTTAAATCGTTGATTATATTGAATAATTAAAATATATAAGAAATGAAAAGAAAAAAAAATGCACGCAGTAAAATAAATATAGTAAATTTCTGTCATGGAAAAGCAATTCAGATTCATTTATAGCGTTCGTTCAAACTCTCAGATGCGAAAACAATAAATTCACGCAGAGAAAAAAACAAAACAATAATTCCAACAATGTTAAAATTTTATTAAATATATTTTTCAACAAAAATTTAAAATCGGTAATCCCACCTCCCTAACGTAGCAGTATGGAAATGTAGCAAAAATGTCCTCTCTCTGAAAAATGGGATCTCTTTCGTGTTGTCAGTTTAAGAAAATAATAATGAATGATGATTAAAGGATTGGACCTCACTACAAATCTCTTACTATAATTTAGATATGATCTCTTCTGCAGTTATTAATACATATAAAAAAGTAGGATTTCACTGACGCTGAAGTTTTTTTTAAGCAGGAGTCTTAGTGATGATTTCCAAAATTTTCGATTAACATTAGCTAGCCAAATCGTTGTAGGCCAGTTCTATATCAGCCACATCTGTACAAGGCCTTAATCGATTCCACATGCTCCAGTAACAGAATTATATAACCAAAGGAATTGTCCTGAAATGGCTGGATAATATCTCTTACTTTCGAAATAAGACCGAATTTGATGGTCCATTGATCCATTCAAATAACAGAATTATTTATATCAATTTGATCTATTTGTACCGAGAGGAATTTCAGCAACTATCACTCAACTAATATTGCGTTACCTTTTTTTTTTGTTTTCTAAAATAGATTTATAAATGAAAAATAGAAAAAGGAGATTTTTGAATTCAAACAAGACAGAGAACTAAATAAACAAAGTAAATACTGCGCCTACTAATCGAGCCATAAATTAATTAAAAAACTATATATTTAAAATAACTTTTATTTAATTTTTAATCATTTTCACTATCTTACTGTTATTGTAAAGCTACTACTATTTGCCAAAACCGTGATCCAAAATATGCTTTGTATCAAACTTTAAGCACAAGCAAAAACGCGAACCATTTGAAAAAGATCTGCTTTGCTTTAAGATCAGAAAAATTACTGGAAACAGTTGTTATGCATTTTGATAATAAGTCAATATAAATGATTATGTTAGCTGACTTGAAATACAAAATCTTTATAAAAAGTTGAATAATTATGATTAACAAATTGGGACCATTTATCCCAGGGATCCCAAATAGATACATAAACAATAAAACTTCTTTATCAATTTATTGGACCACCTGGATACCAACCCGGACAATTTTTAGGTATTCATGCAGGCCACATAGATTTCACTTCCAAATTCGTTTCTTAATATCTAAAACGAATTACACCAGTTGAAATTTTCGATCCTGAGGACAAACAATTTTCAGCATGGATACAAATATTTTCTACATATGGCAGTAAGGAAGCATTTTATAATATATAGATAAAATAATATTTTTTTGTTATTTCTTTTTTTATATATATGCTTTTAATCTTATACTTATATCTTTATTTCATTAATAACGATCTTTCAATGTTTTATTTTTATAAAATTATGACCTATGATAAAAATTAAAAATTACCGAGTTATCATAACACATAAAAAGAATGAAGGAATATGTGTTTAATTGAGATGGCACACTGCATTAGCGCAAAAGATGCTTTCCACAGGACAGGAATGAAGTGGACACAATGCCAACAGTTTATCTAAGATGGTACTCTCTCCTGGCAACTCCAACGGAAGGGAACCTGAGAAAATTTTCTCCTTTTTCTGCATAAAACTGCGGAAGTAATTTGTAACGACGATCCAGAAGGATGGTATCCTGAATCATTATAAAACGCAATATATTTAACATTAATGCTAATGATGTATAAATAATAAGAAAGAAGTACGTTTTTTACACCTAAAATTAAAACTGATTTCTTAGAAAAATAGCAATAAGTAATTATATTAATAACAAGAAGTAATGCTGTGATTTCTTATATTTTTTCTCCTATATACCGCAAAAAAAGGTAGAGAGAAAGAGAAAATTATTTCAGATATAAATCTTGAGTTTGTCCCAGCGGCGCGTGGAGCAGTAGGAGTGATAATATTCCTTTAGACCAGCAGTTCCGAACATTTTTTTTGTCACTGCCTCCTTGCTGTACAAAACAAAACAAAAAACATTTTAAAAAATATAGTAGCAGTATTGTCATTAGAATTTTAACTTATTTTCAATGCAACAAATCGACATGTAAAAGCCTATAAAATTGTGTTAAAACATGCGGTTTGAAGCTTTTAGTAAAAATAAAACTGAAAATCTAGTCCAAAAAGTAAAAAATACGCGATTCATTTCTGCTTATGGATAATTTTAGTTTAGCATTTACAGGCTTTAGCAGAAGGGTTCCCAATGTATGAATATAAACCAAATGAAATTTTGAAGAGAAGGTATAGTTGGGGTGATCAGTCAAATGAGAAGGCAAAAATAAATGATAATATTTATTTTGACATTTGCCGACGTTTCGACCTGAAGTTCAGGCCATCATCAGGGTTAACTGCAATGAAGTAAATCGAAGCAAGCTATAAGTACTAAATCGATTTACTTCATTGGAGTCAGATGATGGCCTGAACTTCAGGTCGAAAAGTCGGCAAATGTCAAAATAAATATTATTATTTATTTTTGCCTTTTTATTTAACTGATCATCCCAACTATTTCTTCTCTTCATTATTCACGACAGTCAACCATTTACCCACAATTACAAATGAAATTTTGTTCTGATCTTAAAGTTCTTGATTTTTATTTTAAGGATGACATACTCATCACAAATAGCGCCAAAAATACCCGCCTGCAAAATCTTCAGACCTTCCAATCAAAATTGCCAAGACTCAAAATAAATGCACCTTAAGTGACCAACAAGTGAGCATGTAAGCTAAGTGACTAACAAAACTCTACACCTATTTAAAGTTGACCAACATCCTTTGTCAACGATTTTATACAAATTTAAACTGACAAAAAACAGTTTATTAACATAAATTGCTATCGCTGACAAGCACCTGAATATGCAGGCGGAACTAAAATGGCACTGGGTCATACCTGTTCTTCCTTAAACAACATAAGTAATTGAATCAAGAAGGAAGAGGCGATGGTGGATACATTCCTTCCTCATGCCTGTCATGTCATTATTTCTTGTATTGCCACCTCATTCGCAGATTGGAGACTTACTACAGTCTAAAGGTGTAAATAAATTTTTAAAAACAAGACCAGAAAACATTTTTAATATTAAATATAAATTTATGAATTTTTAGATAATCGAAATTTATAATTTCGATCTAACATTGAAATTAATATATTGCCATGACAACACTGGGATACGCTGGCTGAACCGAGTTTGAAGTTTGATGTTTTAGGCTAACGATAATTGATAGTTTTATTAGCCAAACTGATTTTTCTACGTCAGCCAGCGGTGGAAATTTCTACAGTCAGGTAATTACTAAACTATTAATGGCGGGGCTATTTCTGCGGTAAGTGGGCTATCCAAGTACGTTTCGGAGCACGTCACGCATTTAGAAAGGTTCTTCTATTATTTTTAAAATGCTCTATTAAAAATGGGTCAGATTGGAAGGAGGCATTAAATCCTTAATTGTTGATAAAATAGTAAAATGAATACATTTTTTTTTCCATTAATAGGACGAATTATAAAACTAACATACCTGATCATTTATTAGTTTAAACTAATAATAAAATATATTGCTTTATGAGTTCTAGTATTTTCCAGCATAATAATTTTATTAATTAGAAATAGACAAATATTGTGAGGCTGTTGTCTTATCCACAACAGGACTTTCAGGATGAAGTATCCTCATAAAAAAAAAATTATTTAACCCACAGATAAAAAATAAAAATGTTCTTACATATAAGACAACAATCTATAATGATTGAAAAAAATGTATAAAGAACGAAGTAAAAAATGGATGGAATGAACTAAAAAAGAAAAATATGTAGAAATAAGACAGAATCCTACGTGACAATTTGTTTTAATTTATTTATTTTTTCCACAAACCGGCCAGCAATGACCACGCGAATATCATTTCCGTTTCCTCTTACTCCAATACTCTCTCATCCTCCTGGACTGTTCCTCTCGCTCTTCCTTAGTCATTTTCTCCCTCGTTTCCTCCTCCCACCTACAAGAACCCCAACCCCTTTCAGTTTTTCCCTAAAAATCTCTATCAAATCTTTATCGTGATGTTTAGCCTGTCTAGTTCCTCTTTTATTTGTTTTACATATCCCCCCATACTTTTATAGCTACAAACTTTGTCAAAAATGTTCTTGTTCAGTCTTTCACTATTCATCCTCACCATATGCCCGTAAAACCTCCGTCTTCTGGTCCTGACGACTGTTTCCAAATTTTTGTATATTTCATTATTGGATTTTAGCCTGTATACGCTCTTGCGTTAACTTGGGTCCGTGAATCCTCCTGAGAATTTATTTATTTAGAAATATAATAATCGGTCACGTGGACAATAATTATAGTGATATATGAACACGACGTGACAATTAGTAATTGCAATAGTTCCTTTTAAAAAAAATGCTAGATGAATATTGTGCAGAGCACCGAAAGCTTCTGAGAACAAAGATAAAATAAATGAGACCGTAGAAAACAAATAGGTGATGTTTTTTTCTTTTTTTTAAATATAATTACACAGTCTACTTATTAAACATTAAAACAATATAATTTTCTTCTCTAGTCTATATTTGTTCCTATGTGTGACCTGAGCTATATACTTTAACTATAGCAATATGTCCTCTTCTTAAATTAGAACGCTACTAAACATAAGAATATGAAAATTTTATTACTAAAAGCATTATTGCTCCATTTATCAAAGTTTTTTTTTTGTTTTTATAGGGCTCTAACCTCCTCCCCTGTTTGTTTCGTAGATCTTCTAGAGTGATTAGGTACCTTAACAGACAGGCAATTACATATGTTAGTTTATTATTAATATGGAATTTTCCCAATATAATAAAACTAATCATTACTAATACAATAACAGTACAGGGCTTGCGGCGGAGCAACTAGTGAAAAATGCCTTGGGGCGCCAACCTGGAGAAGCGCTAGTTGGGGGCGCTCGAACAATCTTCAGGGAGACCCATCTCTTGTTATAAATTATAAAAAAAAAATACAAAACTATTAAAATAATTAATTCAAGCCTACCAATAAAACAACTGTTTTAGAGAAATGTTGAATGATATAAAATTCGAATATTACATAATATAAAACAGCATAAGAAATAAATAATATTTTTTTTGGGAGGGGGGGAGTTGAGGAGAGGGGTTAAAATAACGTCATTGTCCGGCTCAATGTCTAAGGCCGGCTCTGTACAATGTCAATTCGTAGATTAATGGAAGTATATTACAAAAATAGTACAGGTCTTTTTAATTAGAATAGATAACCTAACGTTTTGGTTTTAACTTAAGTGTGATAGGTTTGCGTAGACAAATCATAATGCTCTATAAACTTTCTCTATATCTTAAAAAAAAAGATAACTTGTATATTTTTCTTCATTATACTGTTAACAAAGATTAAATATTATATTTATTTATCATTTTTAAATATATGGAACAGTTCTACTCCCCCAGGGACACGGAACTATTTATACAGCAAAAGGAAAATCCTAGGTGTTAAAAATAACACAATCCCTTTCCTTTCTGGAAATCCCCGGGAGCATAAATTATTAACAAGTGGATCTAGGCCTCATTTAATATTTCAATCATGTTATGCAAATGTCATTTTTGTTTTTTATACATACATAAATAAATACATCTTAATAAGATAAAATTATAGTCCGAGTACTTGAACAGTGGGGAACAGCAAAATTTTCTAACATCAAACGCATCCAATCCTTCCAATTCTGCAAATTTTACCAAAACCTTACCTATCATCCGAATCCCTTTGCACAATCACTATCCAGCACCACCCATCCCTATAATCCTCCAAGAAGGTTCAAACGGCAGTGGCCCCGCGACGTTTTATAGTTTGTAAATATTGGAGTTCTGGGAATGGCCAGATTTTCCACTCACGACACGAGTGTATGTGGCTAAAGCACTCTCGCTCAATCTCCACTGGGTTTAGTTCCAGTGAAGCGGTTGAGAGAGAAGTGCAAGAATCTCCTGGATTCGTGCTTTTCTCCCTACAGTTGGAGGGATAAGTCTGGCTCGGAGTTCTCTCGCCTTATTGTAAATATTATATAGGTATGTATCTGTTCTTTTTTATTTATTTATTTTTAGGTTATTTTATACTTATTTACTGTATATATATTATTTTTCTGTATAATTTATTCTTTTCATTGTATATAGAGTGTGAATGTAATCTCCGAACACTATTATAAATGTCCGTTGAGACAGATTGTAATATTTTCAATAAACAAGTTAAAATAGTCCGAGTATTATTTAAGATCCTGAAGAAATTGTTTATTTGATGGGAGGCAATTTACCGCTGGCCAAACTTTCTAAGGGGTCTCCACAACAGGGACCTTATTTAATTGTCATATGAAAACTTTATTGCAAAACAATAACATAGCCGATCTTTTTTTTTTAATTAGACGAGAGCGTTCTAGTTTTTGAATAATGTTGTTGATTTTTTTTTTTTTTTTTCGGCTTTGCAAAAATATATCTTCTCCAGGCCATTATTTTGTTGAATGACAGCTTTATTATAAAAAACAAACAAAAAAAAAAAAACACGTATAATAACCTTTTTTAAAGAGACAAAATGGTTATTGATTTTAAAAAGATTTTCATATTTTTGAGGTGTTCTCAAAAATATATTAACAAGGTGACCCGTTTCGTAAAGGAACCATACAAAACGGAAGCATTTTCTTTTAATTGAATGTTGGATGAATTGACACCTTTATTACAAAAAATAACACTCATTATAACTTTCCTATATATACAAAGTCTGTTAGTGGTTTGAACTAACATCACACTTCTTCCGAAAAATCAATATTGTAGTATGTAAGAGTTATCGATTTTTTTGAAGATTCTTGGATTGTGTGGATGTGTTCTGCTAAATCTCCAAGTTCTGTTCCTTACTATAAGATCTATTTTGGATTTAAGATTAGATTATTTGAATGTGTTGACATTAAGAATCATCGATCGCCTAACCACTAACGAATGGCTTTGAGGTAGTGATTGCTATCCTTGTAATCCATGGTGCAATCAAACTAGTGCAATAGATTAGTAGCTTGTTTCGTAAGTGAAGTGAGGATCATTAATCAAGAAGATGTGACAGTCGATTGTATCTTTTTGTTAGTTAATTTATTAACAATTAATAATTAATTACTTCTCGCTTTAATTTTATATTTATTTCCCAAGTGAGTATTATTAATGAGCATTTGTATGAATAAATAATTTCCATTTGTGGAACTACTTTTCAAGATTAAAGATACTTTATTCTGAATATTCATATTTTATTTAAACTTAATAAAATAAAAATTATTATTTAAAATTAATTTGACTTTCAAATTATTGCCAACATGCAACTTTACGATTAATAGTTAAAAGGCAATTATTTAATTACAGAATTTATTATCTCTCTATCCAAATGAGGGCAGTCATGGGAATATCATGGAAATCCCTCATCCCTTCACTTTATTTAAAGATCGATAACCTACTGAAATGATGGCTGCCATTCGATAATCTGAGATATCGAATTGTACTGTTCAAACGGTCAGGAATATAACTATACGCAACTGAAGATCTACAATTTATATCTATTCTATTTTTTTTTTTTTTTTTTTTTTTACAGGCACCCATTTCTTCGTGAGAAATGATTTGTTACACAAGGACTTGGACATCCAAACGATTTCAGATACCCCAACACAATACTATAAAAACTTCCACTAGAGACTAAATTACAACGTGTACTAATGGGCCTCAAGACTAAATTCCACGACGAACCCGTACATCCCACCCCGAAGCCTGTTAGGACGGTGGTCAAGAGACTTTCTAACCTAATAGTCCGTGGTATACACCCCTTTTTATCAAATTATTAAAATCCAGCTGAAACTTCGTAAATAGAATCATCTCATCGTAACCTACAAATATTTTGTTTACCAAAATTCTCGGAATTGGGACGGTTTCAATACATAGACAAACTTTGTCTATTTAATTAGGTACTAAAAACTCGTAAATACCCAATGGTTTTCAACTTTAATCGTAAGATAACTTGACATCAAAGTGCCCTTCAAAAATACTCGACCGTTTGGCGTGACCTACGCCTCCAAATTGTCAAAATTACGAGGTTACGTAGGCCAAACGGCTCAATGTTTTTGAAGGTCACCTTTTTTCTCGATTTTGTGATCAAGTTAACTTACGATTTAAGTCGAAAGCAAATTGGTATTTACGAGTTTTTAGTACCTAATTAAATAGGCAAAGTTTGCCTACCTCCATTTTGAAAACGCCCCAATTCCGAGAATTTTTGTTAATAAAATATTTGTAGGTTACAATGAGATGAAGCTATATAAGAAGTTTCAGCCGGATGTTAATAATTTGATAAAAACAGGGTCTGTACCATGGTATATAATCCACAGCCGCAAGAGTAGATTTGCTTACAACTTGGCAAAGAGCCAATTCACTGACCATGATAGATAACTTATGCTAATAAATATAAACTTTTAAAGGCAGTTGGATGTGAGCTGCGATATCATTGATCTGCAATTATGTGATCCTCTATTCTTTTTTGTCCTTATAAAGCCTCGATTAGCCAAATCTTGGGTAGTTATTGCTATATACCGATGGTGCAGGTGTGTGACTGAAATATAATTCCATGAATTAAAAATAAATAGAGCCAGTCTAAGTAAAAACAAATTAAATATTGCCACACAACACATTGTAGGTAAACTTCGAACAGGATATTGATGACTGATCATGATGTCGATCCTGCTGAAACTTGGGAATCTGTTTCGCAGGCGACGTGAGGTAATGCTTTCCAATTATCCGCACAAACATACATATATATATTTATACAATATATATATATATATATATATATATATATATATATATATATATATATATATATATATAGCATATCCTAGGATATGTTGCTGCATATAATTATCTTTGAATATAAACTAAAATGTCAATAATAGCAACATACAGCGTGATAAAATATTTGCGTACCTACTTCCAGGACTTAGCTTAGCCATCTAGTCGACTTAGCCTATTTTCTTAATTGATATTAGTTAACATACTTTATTCATTCGTGCAGATTAATTTTTATCGATTTTGATTTTATTTTTGAAATATTGTGGGGAGGGAGAGGGAACGAAACGATAATCTCGGATCTCTATTTTGATTGGGGACGGGAGGCGATTCCCCTCCTTGCCTCTCTCCACCGTAAGTCTGCGTCTATGAAACAGCTATTTCTAGGTAAACTGATTGGTTCTACTACTTAAATTACATTAATTACAATATTACAAAATAAAGAATTATTTACGTAGGTAGTACCTACTACTTAATACACACCAAAGTGATGGGCTACTATGCCATTAACTTATGTTTCACTTTTGGAGATTCTTCTTTTCTGAGTTGGTACCTGGATGGCCACATATAAATTTCATTGGATCCATCCATTACTTAAGCATCCGAATATATATCTTTTTAGATGTGCCTATATTTCAAAAACGACTGGTCAGATATGGCTCAAAGTTGATCACAAGTTGAAGATTATTGAAAAAATTATGTTGAATCGAATTCCATACACTACTTCCTATTACATGTACGCAAACGTATATTCTTTGATATACGCCTATATCTCAAAAATAACAAGTTAGATGTGAACGAAAGACAGGGAGAAGTTAGAGATTAATAAAAAATGGTCTTTTAAGTATTCATTTTATCAAATTTCAACCAATATTTTCAAAAAAATCATTTGCTTGCGGATGTGCAGACCATTTTCCTGAACGCGTATTTATTTTTAAAAATAGTATAATGGATTAGTGCACAAATCAATTTTATCAATCGAAATCCATTTAACAATTTAAACTAGTATACCTGATTGTTAAGAAATGTGGAACATATGGTCAAAGGAGTATATTTTATGTACTTGAGTGATAAAGTTTCACATTTGCGAATTGCGTTTTTGGCTCTTTGTGAACACAAAAAAAAAAAAAAAAATAACGAGCATTCATGTACACATTGTACTTGATATGTAAGTTTTCAATCGCAAAATTTATGGAAAGAAATCCATTGAAAAATTCGATTATTCGTTGATAATCTGTTGTGAACCAATTTTGGAGCAAACCAAACTGACATTTTCCAGCAGTCAGAACAAAACTAATTTGAAACGGGATATAACAGCATGACTGACGTTTACAAATTACATGAAAAGAAGGCCTATGCATACTTAAAATTTATTGACCACTGTACATATATAATTTAAGGTGGAGTTCGCATTCCGGTACCGGTCGAGATTTTTAACTCTGTCATTAATCCCCCGCCCTCACCTCAGACCCGAGAAAACTCCGTGTAGCCTAAAAGGCGAGAAAGGAAAGCAGAAAAAAAATTAAGGTAGGATATAAGAATATGACCGATGTTTACAAATTACATAAAAATAAGCTATGAATACCTAAAATTTATTGACTTGATACCGATTGAAAATTTATTGACTTTATACCGTTCAATTGTTAGGATATTCCACAAGTTTCTTCCCTTTTTTTATGCGGAATGAATAGACGATATTTGTTATTTAAGGTTGATTTACTGTGTGTCGTATGAACCGACCGTTCTTCTCTATTCTTCCATCGCTTGTCGCTCTTTCCTAAATTGTTGAGACTTCCTTGCAAAGTATTCATCTAGGTTTCGGGTTTGGGACATTTATCACACAGACAATGTTTTAATGAGAGAAACAAGTAATTATCGGATGGGGAAAGTTATGAACAGTACGGAGAATGAGGTACAACGTCCCAATCAATCTCAAAGTCGCACCTTCGGTAGTGAGAAAGCAAAAAAAAAACAAAGTAAAAGGAATACAAAAACCAAGGGGAAAAACACATGTTTCTGCTGTAGGTATAGATAGCATCGATACATTGATAGTCTACTGTATAGTAGAAGCTTATATGAACTTAAAATTGTCTAAAGAAGGCTTGTAGTTGCTGTGTAATAGCACCCCATAGTACCGGTATAGTTGGACACAATCGCTTTCATATATATATATATATATATATATATATATATATATATATGTATGTATGTAATAGGATCCCAATATATCTGGGCACAATCGCTTTTAATAAAATGTCCCTTTCTTCCTCTCTCTCTCTCTGTATGTATATATAGAGACATTTTATTAAAAGCGATTATGTCCAGATATATTGGGCTGGTATTACAAAGCATAGTTTTTACAATTTTAAGTTCATATAAGTTTCTATTATACAGTAGAATATCAATGTTTCATCGATACTATACCTATAGCAGAAACATGTTTTTTTTTCTACTTTCTACTTTATTTTTTATATTATATATACACTGACAGGCAAAAAATTCCACCCACTTGATTTTTTCATGGTTTCATCTAAAAATATTTCTGCTTTGGATTGGTCTATTGTTTTTAATGAATAAATAGGTAATTTTTTTGTTTGTTTTCAATTAGGAATGTTAATATAGAGGACAATAACCCTTAATCCTTAATTCAATGAAATGATTCTAGATTCCAATGTTTACTTTCTATGGAATCAAAATGTTTATTCAGTATCATTAGTTCAGTGCCGTTTCTTGCAGCACATTTCTTAGTCTCCGGCTTTTCAATATTAAGTTTAAAAATGCCTCTTAGTGCTGAGGAAGTTGCGCGTGGTGTGGCACTTATTGATGATGGACGTTCCATTAGATATGCAGCTAATGCCATCGGAGTTCCATATGAAACTTTAAGAGACGCCGTCAGGCGTTTTCGGGAAATTAGTTCTTACAATAGAAGGCCCGGTTCTGGACAGCCTAGGGTAACAGAACCACGGGATGACCGTTTTTTGGCTTTGAGAATTTTACGAAACCGGCACCTTACCGTTGTTCAAGCGATTCATCAGCTCGAAGAAGTTCGAGGTGTGCAAATTTATGAACGTACCGCATGGAGAAGATTAAATGAGTATGGAATAATGACTTTTCGTCCACTAAGAGAACCCAGAACTCAACCTTGACCAGAATTCACGAGTAACACGGCTGGCCTGTGCTCGAGAACACAGCCATTGGACTATGGACGAATGGAGTGCTGTACTTTTTACAGATGAATCAAGATTCGCTCTTCAATCTCCAGACGGGCGTGAAAGGGTACGGGGAAGAAGAAACGAAAGATATGCAGCCTGTAATTTTTCCCAGAGCCAAACTTTCCAACGTGGTTCCTTAATGGGTAACAAGTGTGTAAAATCAAATATAAAATAAGTGGCACTTCCGGTTAACTGATTTTCAGGAAAAATTTGCTGTAACATAGGCATATATATATATATATATATATATATATATATATATATATATATATAGAGAGAGAGAGAGAGAGAGAGAGAGATTTTTATAAGCGATTGTGTCCAGATATATTGGGGTGCTATTACGCATCATACTTTAGACAATTTTAAGTTCATATAAGTTTCTACTATACAGTAGAATATCAATGTTTTATCGATGATATACCTAAAGCAGAAACATATTTATTTTTTATACTTTCTCCTTTATTTTTTATATTATATATATATATATATATATATATATATATATATATATATATAGAGAGAGAGAGAGAGAGAGAGTGAGAGAGTAAGGGATGGAAAGCGGGAGATAGGATGATGTAATAAAAGGAAAAAAAAGTTTGAGAAAATGATACCCCTCCCTAATTCGATAATAAAGTCGATAATTCATTCACAACGAAACCTATCTCCGAAGCTAATGATAGCAATTACATCCTGGTGGAATTCTGGAAGAGAAGTGACCCTCAAGAGGAGGCTAGAAGAGACTGGACGTTGGCTCGGATGACGTCGGACTGGAGGGAGTTCTCATCCAGGCTTCAGTCGGTCAGTGGTTAGTGTACAGTGTTGTGTTCTGTCAACTCTCTCTCTGCCATACCAGTTCGTAGCCACAATATCCTCCATGCGGTAAATATATATAATACATATACATAAATAAAAATGCCTAATATTAATTATAATGTATCGAAAGCCATATCTACGTCCGAAATTTAACAAAAAAATCATTATTTAATTCGTGGGAATTTTAAATCAAGATATTTAATTATTAATTTCAAAAAACTTTATGACTATGTTGATGAATTAGCATTCCAAATAGACATTGTAGAAAATCGGATAAAACTATATACAAATTTTGATTAGTTTTAATTTTTATGATTTAAGTTTCAATATATCTGAATTTTAACAGCAGAGAATTTAATTATCATCCAGCACTAAACTTGAACATATCTGTGTGCTTTTCAAATTTTTATTTTTCATTTAGTCAAAATTTAAAAGAATCTTGAAATATGAGTGGATCAAATAGTTTTGAATGGCTTTGACTATATAGGTATAGTCTATACATTATCTATATTTAAAAAAAAAATATGTACCACTAAAACCCATAAAGAAGGTTGATTTCAGTGCTTTGTAACTATATTTATTTAAGATGATATAAGTATCTGAGGTTAAATATTTTATGGAAGTTCTTTAAAAAGAATTTGTTGTAATATAATTCTTGATTTCTGTTAAAAGTTATATCCATTTCTCTTCTTTAAGGAGTTTAAGTTATTTAAAAAAAAAGTTAAATTAAATGAGAGTTCAACAGTAGGCTTTGATCACAGATATAATTTATCTTAAAGAATTACTTGATTCTTACGTGTTCTTTGTTTTAGTAGCTAAGAATGTACTACTCAATTATCATATTTTATATTGGCTACTTAGCGAAATAAATTGCTTCGACAAAACTGTTAAATCTTTACTTAAGAGAAAATCTTTAGTTATTCAAGATTCCAGCCATTCTGAAATTAATGAAAAATGAATGATAAAATTTTAATTCAAGCCTTGATTTTTATAATCAATTCAATTCGAGGGTACGTTGGTTACACAAGTTAGAACGACGTGACTATAACTTTTTAGAGCTATTCAGGAAAAAAGTAGAATTTAAAACAAAAATATTTGTACACGAACTAAACATTGTTCATAACTTCTTACATACAGTGGTAATCTGCTGAGTCTATAACAAATTATAACGGACTTATTTCAGCAATTACAAATACTTAATTGTATCGTTTATCTAATTGATAAGAAGCCAAAAGGTCAATTGTCTGTAAGTTAAAAATATCTCCACACCCTACCTCTTCGTTCCTTTGTTCACAAGCCCTGGTATGTGGGAAATGTCAGCGCTAACCAGTTTGAGTGTATTGCACCAATACACTGGTTAGTGCTTACATACAGTTGAATACAGGAATTCGAGAAAACAAAAATGTTCATTATCATATCTATGCCAAATGGAACAGTCGGTCGTAAAACATGAAAGCTGACAAAACGAAAAAAAAAAATACAATATTTATATGTTTGTTTGTTAACGTGTTTTATCTTCAACTAGCAATCACTAAATATAGCTTAATAAAAACATTATATGTTAAGGAAACAGATTTTACAGAATAACTATAAAATTATCCTTAACGAATCCAGAATTGCAGAAAACCTGAATCCACAAAAAATGTCAGATACCATTATTTCTTTTTGTATTTTATTTTGTTCTATAGGTAACAACTTTCTTGCGATTGTTGTATATTTTTATTTATTTTTTTATTTGTCTACCGCTTCGGTCTCATCTCTTGTTGAACTGCCTCAATCGTTTTGTAAAATTTGTTTACAACATCATCTAACATAACTAAATGATTGGTACAAACTTTGAAAAATTTGACTCAACCAAGACAAATCCCAACACATTACATTCACTCTTCGACATGAAACTTGTCCTCCTATTTATCTTCATAATGCCAAAATTCCCTAAAAAGATAAAGTAAAATGTCTTAGACTCACGTTTGACAGAAGAATGAAATGTGGCCCACATAACAACAAAAAATGAAAAACGGTAAACCTCAGGTTACGACTATTATACTCAGTTCTTTCAAGACGCTCGAAATTAAAATTAAAACAGAAACTGTAAACTTACGTTTATCAACTTAAATCTATATGGACCTGCGCTTCACAGATAAATGGAACAGCTAAAACGACCCACATACGGAAACTAAAAACTTTTTAGTCAAAAACTTTTAACCACCATAGCTAAAGTTCAAAGGTACGTCACAACCATTATTTTAGGTAAAGATTTCATGGTAAATACAAGATATGGCTAAAATTAGCATCACCCAAAATCCGCTTAGGAGATTCAAAAGAAGCTGGGTGAGAGATCCCTTCACTTAAAAAGTATAATAAAATCAAGACAGGAAGAGATGCCGCTGGGGACTCCTCTTCCTTAAGCCGATCAATGTTACTATTCCTCCCAACAGCAGCCTCGCTGATGGTCACTTCTTCTAACACGTGTGGGGGAAGAAATTATGTTAAAAAAATATATAATGTCTATTACTTGTACGTAGTTAAAAGTAGTCAGAAGCAACAAACATGTCTGACCAACAACCAATTGTTCATTAATTATGTATGTTACTCCTGACTATGTTTAACAACAGTTAAGTAACAGACACATTTTATGAAGTCACATAGGCAGTACAACTAAAAAAGAGACTAACCTTAAAGTAATGAATATGTTTCTGATGATGGGAGAAATGTTAAACGTATGTAAAATAATGGGATAAATAAAAATATACAATATTCGTAAGGAAGTTATAATTGCCAAGTTCACAACTTCACTTGTTAGATACAATGTCTTACTGCTTAGTGCTTCAAATCTTTTTGTCTGATACAATTCGATGCCTGTCAGGTTTACATGAAATATCTTAAAAGCAAAGAAACCAACTGTTATTGTTTTTGACGGTTATAATGAAACTGATTAAACCAAAAGAAGTAAACAATTTCGTAGTTGCAAGAGATCCGTTCCACATTCCATAATCAATGAAATCACGCTGTTGTATGGTAACCAAGAGCGAATCTAGAAGTAATTTATTTGTGACCTCAGAATTTGGAAGTTATATTACCTTTTATGTGAGAGGGGGGGCTACTATAAAACTATTGTTTAACTATTTCATATCTCGATGAGAAATAGTTAATTTAAAATCGATCGTTGTCGATATATACAAGGTAGTTAATCAAGGGCCCAGTGGACTAACACGTGTGCACAATTCGGCAACCTGATAATAGAAGTTGGAGACAATAAAAATTATTTACAAGTTCGCGTCCCGGTGGCCGCGGGAGGAAGGAGCTTTTAATTCTGGCATTAATCCTCCGCGCTTACCTCCTGGCTCAGGAAAACCCGCGTATAGCCTAAAAGACGAGGCAGAGAGAACACACATATAAAAAGGGTAGTTAATTCATTTCATTGATGTACGTATACCCATCGATTCCATTAATTTTCCTCAAACTAACGAATGATAATTTATCCTGAGTTATTTAGGAATAACGGCACCTGCAGGTTTATTTTGAAAGGGGAAATTTCCCATTTTTCCCCTTCCATGAATCAGACACCAATTGTAACCTAGAGCGATACATTAGCACCTCTGAAAATAAAAAAACACCCTATTAGCATCGTGTCCAAGGTTCCAAGACAACATAACTTCGAAATAAGGTAATAGGCTGGTGATGGAATTGTTGACCGATGTTATAAAAGGCAGTAAAACGATCAACTCGGTGCATCCCAAGTTGTTTCGAAAGATGTAGATATACTTGTGACCTTGACGAGAGCTGGATTTGAACCAAGTGAAGAAAAAAATTTCTTCAGAAAATGGGTTCCTGCATTCCGTCGGTAGTCTTTGAAAAAGGCGTATCCAACTCAATATTTCTCAGGAAGCAGGAATAGACTTTCTAGGAAGTGATGTTTTCACAACTACTTAATCGGGAGATAGGACTCAATTATAATACTTCCATTACCTACAAGTGCTAGGAAAGTAACAAAAACATCCACTAATTAAGGTCAATACAGCTAAACGGCTTCCTCGCCGTTTTCATAGGTTACACTGTTATCTGTATTTCAAGGGTATAATTTATCTTTTGAGAATAAAATTTTCGAAAGAAGCGTTTTTGAAAATACAGTATACCCTCAACATTCGCAGGTTTGATATCCGTCAGTTTTTACTATCTATGAATACAAAAATCTGAAAGATTTTCCACATTTGTAATTCCAAAAATGTGGAAGTGTTCCACTTTTGCAAATTGCATATTTTACTATGGGTGATTAAAAAAATTCCAGTACAGTTTGTTTGTACAAACTGAATATGCATATACAGTGGCGGCCCTAGGGCGGAGTAACGGGGGGAGGGGTAATTGCCCCGAGGCGTCGATCATCATGGGCGCACGCCACTTTTCTAGAATTTAAAAAATACATATAAAAATAAGCAATTTAAGCCTATTAATATAGCAACTAAATAAATGAAATATTGAATGAAATAAAATTCAAGCGATACATAATATAAAACAGTTCAAGAAATATATTTTTCATAGGGGGGAGAGAGAATGACGTGAAAAAATCTTTGTGCATAATTATGAAGAAGTAGTACCCGGAATCCAATAAAATTGATACAGCATATTTTTTTTTAACCATACCAATCTTTCTTCCGATTTCGAGCAAAATCAAACGAGCTGTTTTTGAAATATTGTCATATCTAAGAAAATACATTTACGCGTGCGTAATTTGATAAAATTGATATGGGAATATCTCGGTACGAACCTGCACAATATCTGAAAACTTCACGAAAACCAGATAAACGATAGTAGGTGATATGCCTGTCATATCGATTTGACTACAGACAGACACGGAACCATGTTAGAGGGGTTATTATTTATAAATAATAGTTATAAAACTATTATTTAACTATTCCATATCTCGATATGAAATAGTTAATTTGAAATCGCGATTTGCAGGGTAACCAGATAACCAAGATTTGAAATTGAATAAAGTACGAGTTCACGTCTCGGTGCCAGAGGAATTTTAAATTCTCCGCCCTCACCCTCCGGCCCGGGAAAATCCC